TTCTTGTTAAAAACCACAATCATTTATGGTGAAAAATGATATTTTTGAATTTTTGTTGAAAACAGCAAGTCCCATTGCATTGATACTATGCATATTGTTTATTTTCTAATGATATCTTCTGTTCTATAATTGAAATGTGCATTGCAAACAGCGGAGCTATCTCAGCCGAGAGGCTGCTTGTTGTTTTTGTGTCATGCCCATTTCTCACCTGCATGGCGATGAGACATGCACCCCAAATTATGATTTGTGGTGTGTCCTAACATTTGTCTTACTATTTCTGTGGACATGGGACCTCAGCATTTTTTTCTCAATGAAAGTGTATGTGAGCAATGCTGTGAGGATGTTATTGTTCAAGTATTATTGGCTAAAAATTCCCGAATGGGGTTTATATTGAACTCTAATATGATTGGATCTGATGTGATTTGTTTTTCTTTCTTTCAGGGAATAACTTTAAAAATGAACGATGATGGTCGTTGCATCGTAGCTCGTATCATGCATGGAGGTATGATACACAGACAAGCCACGCTCCATGTCAACGATGAAATACGTGAAATAAACAGCATTAGTGTTAGTAATCAGTCAGTTGAAGCGTTGCAGAAAATACTACGAGATGCTAGAGGTAGTATCACATTTAAAATAGTGCCAAGTTATCGAAGTGCACCACAGCCATGTGAGGTGAGTTCAATGTCATAAATCAAAATCAACTAAATGATAACCTGATGGAAACCATCTTGATATTATCAAATTAATGACTAGTTAATGTGATTTCTGATTCTTCTGAGAGTAAGAATTCACTACGTTCAATTACCCACCATAGACTCCGGTCATTTTGACTAAGTTTATACATTTTTAACATGTTTTAACATTGTGGTAAGATTGCTATGATTTGTTAATGGCTTCATATATAACTTGTAACCCTCATATCGCATGCATGGCTGATATGCTTCCTATAACACTTGTAATTTGTCCATTACAGATTTACTGTCGTGCTCAATTTGACTATGATCCATTTCAAGACGATATAATCCCTTGCCAGCAAGCTGGTCTAGCGTTTAAATGTGGAGATATATTACAAATAATCAGCAAAGATGACCACAATTGGTGGCAAGCTAGAAAAGAAGGTGCTCCACTCAATGGCACAGCTGGATTGATACCCTCTCCTGAGTTACAAGAATGGTGAGTAAGATATTACATTTATACAGTATCTGTTATGTTTATATAACTTGTATAATATCACAGACTTGGTATCAATTTTCTGTCACGCATGGATTATGAGATATAGCCATCAAACACACTTATAAACTTTGCAATGAATACAATAGTTAATGTTGATGTGTCATGATTCATTTTTTTTTTACAGGAGAGTGGCATGCTTAGCAATAGAAAGAGCTACAAAAGATCAACAGACAACATGTACATGGTTTGGGCGTAAAAAGAAACAATACAGGGATAAATATTTAGCCAAGCACAATGCAGGTATGCTATGTTTTATTCCAACTATTGGCCTAATGTCCTCATTATTAGCATAATATATGCGTGTATGTGTATCAGCATAATGCATATGTCCCTATTAGTGTAATGTGTGTATATTATATATTATCATATTGTATGTACACAATGTTAGAATGATATATGTACAGGCCCAGTGATTGACATTACATCATGTTTTTACTTTCAGTGTTTGATCAACTGGATCTTGTAACATATGAAGAAGTTGTGAGATTACCAGCTTTTATGAGGAAAACATTAGTATTACTAGGTAAGGTGATGCAAGATTTATATTTATTATCTCCATGAGAGCAAGGCTCTTTGTGTTTGACTAATTGTTCAACTCCTAATGTGCTTTTTGTTTTTATATATAGGTGCACATGGTGTTGGTCGAAGACATATAAAGAATACTTTAATAACAACCCATCCTGAAAGATTTGCATATCCAATTCCACGTAAGTATTTGTTCAAACAAATCTTGCCTAGATGACTATACTGTATAATATTCTACTGTAATGTATACATTATAATGACTTGTGTGTCTTGAATCATGAAAGGTAAATTACACTAAGGAATGTTGTAATCGTTATCATATTTATCAGCTATTTTAAATTCCTGGTGTTCAGATCAGTAACAACTTGTAATACATGATTGACAATTGAAGTATCGGCAATTTCTCTTTCACAGACACAACTCGTCCCTCAAGAAAAGATGAAGAAAATGGAAAAAATTATTATTTTGTAACACATGAACAAATGATGGCAGATATTGCAGCTAATGAGTATTTGGAATATGGTACACATGAAGAAGCCATGTATGGAACAAAATTAGAAACAATAAGAAAAATACATGAAGAAGGTTTAATGGCAATATTGGACGTAGAACCACAGGTTTGTTTTGAACTGCAATCAGCGCAAATGTACAGTTTTCAGTTTTTGTTGCAAGCATCCCCTCATGTTTATATAACATACCCTGTTCGACAGTCTCATTTTCTTGGCTAATTATTTATTTCATTATACAGGCTTTAATTGGTAAAAATTTTAACCATTTTTTTTATGTGGGTTCATAGCAATACCAGAATCTATATCCAATACAGCACTCGTATTCTACGATGTAACAAAATGTCCAATACATTTCAACTGGATGGAATGAAACTATATTAACAAGATAATAACAAGAATCAACTCAGGCCCATTGAGAAGGAAACTACACTCCTTCATAGAATTATAGAACCACAGGAAATTAGCACTGATCTCCTGTGCTTGCCACCTAGTACACCTATATTTGTTATATGGTAGAACCTTTAATTAATTCCAGTAATACATGTTCACATGATAGCTAGGAAAGGTTTTGTGTTTGATTATATCCCAAAACATCCAGCTATTTTGAATGGTTAGGTATGATTGCCCAATATTTCCTACTATGGATCAAGATTGTATCTTTATGTTTACAGATATGATATTATATTCACAGCTGTTTGTCATTTATTTCAGGCACTTAAAGTGTTACGGACGGCAGAATTTGCTCCATTTGTAGTATTTATAGCAGCACCAACCATAGCACACATGAATGATGTAAGTAATGTTAAGATGACATCTGTAACATGCTGATTCATGCAGACTAGGGAGTTTACAAGAACTAATCTAGTTCAAAATGTGTTTTTACCTACCACTATATTTGTCCAATACCACTCATCTGAAAACCTTGCTCTTTATTAGCTCCGCTGTCGACTTTGTCGAGCGGAGCTTATCATATGAGTGATTGTTCGGCGTCCGGCGTCGTCCGTGTCAATGTTTTACTTATTCGACTTCTTCTTGAAAACTACAAGCCTGAATGCTTTGATACTTAGTGTATATGTACCTTGGGTAGACCTCTCTCAGATTTGTTCATTTCATGATCATATCTTCAATTCTCTAATTTTGGTGAATATTTTTGTCATTTTTGGTAAAAAGTGATATTTTCGACTTCTTGTTAAAAACTGTAAGTCCGATTGCTTTGATATTACATATATAGGTACTACATGTAGACCTTTCTCAGATTTATTCATTTCGTGATGATATCTTCAATTCTCTAATTTTGATGAATATTTTTGTCATTTTTGGTAGAAAGTGATATTTTCGACTTCTTGTTATAAAAACTGTAGGTCCGATTGCTTTGATACTATACATATTGTTCATTTTCTAATGTCTTCAGTTCTTTAATTGAAATGTGCATTGCTAACAGCGGAGCTATCTCAGCTGATAGGCTGCTTGTTTCATTTCATGATGATATCTTCAATTATCTAATTTTGATGAATATTTTTGTCATTTTTGGTAAAAAGTGATATTTTCGACTTCTCGTTAAAAAACCACAAGTCCAATTGCTTTGATATTACATATATAGGTACTACATGTGGACCTCTCTCAGATTTGTTCATTTCATGATGATATCTTTAATTTTCTAATTTTGGTGAATATTTTTGTCATTTTTGGTAAGAAGTGATATTTTCGACTTCTTGTTAAAAACCGCAAGTTCAATTGCTTTGATATTACATATATAGGTACTACATGTGGACCACTCAAATTTGTTCATTTCATGATATCTTTAATTTTCTAATTTTGGTGAATATTTTTGTCATTTTTGGTAAGAAGTGATATTTTCGACTTCTTGTTAAAACCGCAAGTTCAATTGCTTTGATAATACATATATAGATACTACATGTGGACCACTCTCAAATTTATGGTGAAAAATGATATTTTTGAATTCTTGTTGAAAACAGCAAGTCCCATTGCATTGATACCATGCATATTGTTCATTTTCTAATATATCTTCTGTTCTTTAATTGAAATGTGCATTGCTAACAGCGGAGCTATCTCAGCCGAGAGGCTGCATGTACTTTTCATTACCAACAAAATTTAAACCAATGCGCATTACATTAGAGTATTTTTTGTTATCATGTGGAAGCTGAATATCAACAAATTGTTTTTAAACTGTAAAATTTCAACTGTTGGGATGTCTATTTCAAACCAGATGAAGGGTTTTTTACTTTTGCCTGATGCCTAAATTAGAATAAAAAATGTGACAAAAAGATCACCTGGTCAAGGTTTTTTGGGGCTAGCATTAAATCTTTCCTTCAAAAGATCACCCAGGGCTTCGGTATTTAAGTAATATGGTATTCATAAAAAATAATATATTCCAGATTGTTCTTTTTACACGCTAATCATCATTCTTGTTCTTGGTTACAGGACGGTAGTTTAGAAAGATTGGCTAAGGAATCTGAATTACTTCGTCAGGCATATGGACACTACTTTGATCTGACTATCGTTAATAATGATATTGAAGAGACCATAAAAACTTTAGAAAATGCAATAGATGAAATCTGTACCACACCACAGTGGGTTCCTGTCAGCTGGGTTTATTAGAAACCTAACTATTCCACACTGTTGTATATGTTTTCTTTCTTCATATATATCACTATTGGTTATATATATTGTTTCCTGTTTCCTCTGTTAGGTTTGCAACATGTCACATGTTTGATCACCATCAACATTTAAAAAAAAATCAAATCCTGTGAGCTATGTCCAATTCTGCAAGCTTTGTCCATTATTGAAGAACTTTACAGAAAAATT